CCCCAAAACCCCAAAACCCCAAAACCCCAGATGATTGAATAGATAAATGTTATAGAAATATTACGTTAAAATATAAATACTTAAAAAGGGGAATGAGTAAACAAAAGAAATCAGCATCTATAGATATTTCAAATCCACTTAGCAAAAGGATACAATCGCTTGGAAATCCTGAAATGGAATAGATAACCAGTGAAGATGAAAAGAAACAAATATAAAATCAACAAAGGAGATCAGGTACAATCCTGAGAATGAACTTGGATGAGAGCATAAGAGGAGGACAAGGTTAACAGTAAATTGGAGGTGCTGGTTATCAGAGTAAATCAAATGACCTTATAGATATCAGAAACAACACAAGCAGCAGGCCCATATCTTCTTCATACCATGAAATAGGTGAAGATCCTCTTGCTTACTAACAAGAAGAGCATAAATTCATATTGAAGCTGCTAGCTTAAGGTAGTATTGATGAGCTAAGAATATACTTGCAAAAGGTTTAAATAGATCTAACAGAAGTGTGGGACTAGTCTGGATTCAACTTACTTCACCTTGCAGCTTATAAAAACTCATTAGTTGCGATTCAGCTATTCTGTGAGTACCTAATTGAGGAAGAAGCTTTGAAGTAGCAAGATGATATGAAATCAAGAATCTAGCGATATCATAGAGAGTAAACTTTCCAATTAGTTGCCTAATCTCCTCATTAAAAGCTCGTAAACTGGATTCATCAGCCAGCGTAAGGAGAAGAGGGTTTCACTGCTCTTCATTTCGCAGCATTTAACGGTAACGTTAAGATTATTTAGCATCTCGTGAGTATGGGGGCTGACATTGACATAATTCACAAGGCTTCAAGGTCTTAAGTTAGCTTATTTCATGTCGCAGCATAGGGTGATTAGCCTGGAGTTTTAGCATATCTTAAAATGCATATGTCTCTAACTGATCCCAATATCGTCAATAAAAAGGATTGCAAATATGCGACTCCCCTTCACTGGGCTTGCTATGCAGGATCGGAAAATTCAGTTTAATTCTTATTAGCTTGGGGAGCAAACCCGAATTCTTAAGATTTATCTGGCTTTACCCCACTTCATTTAGCAGTTAAATCAGCTGAAGATATTAAAACTGCTAGAATAGTTAGATTTTTACTAATAAAAGGTGCCAAAAGGGATTAAATTGATAGTTACGGTAGAAAGCCAATAGATATCGCAAAGGAATGCAAGGCTAGTACAGTCAGAAAAGAAATGGTTCAGTATTTGGTAAGAATTAAAACTGTTGTGATGATATAAATAGGAAGAGCCAAATCTATTGCAGAAGCTAATGATATAGACTCCAATTATGAAGACAAAATAATCTTATACATCAGTTATTCTATTCATCTTACTCTATAGCTACAGTTTCACTCACATGCTCTATTTTGAATTCAAAGGTAATAATATTGAGCGATTAATATTCCATAGACGATGAATTTAGCATGACTAATAAGATCTTAATGGTGTCAAATTTTTTATTCACATCAGTTTTCTTTCTATTATCTTGGCTTACTGATCCAGGCTATCTGGAGCAGTCAGATAGAATAGACTTTTTGCAAATTGTTCCTAAATTCGAACCTCACTAACTTTGCCCAGATTGTTCTTTAATCCGTACACAAAGATGCAGACATTGCAATATTTGCAATAAATGTGTTGAGAGATATGACCATCACTGCCCCTGGATCAACAATTGTGTGGGGTATAGGAACCATTGTTATTTTTACATATACATAGTCTCTTTATTGACTTATATGATTACTGTTTTCTTTATCTTAGTCACTAGTTTGGAGAGCAGATTAAAACCTCATTTAAAGATATCATAAATCAAAGACATGTATATCCTTGACTCATTAAGTAATGCAATCTATGGAGTTGAGGGTGATGAACGAAGCTACTTTATCATGAATTTATGCAATATTATCTTGCTCATAGTCTGTATTATTTTTATGATACCTCTAATGATTCTTGTCTTTGTTCAAACAAAGAATATGATGTCTAATGAAACTACTGGTGAAAGATTCAGCCGCAAGAGGGAGTAGAGTGGGGCTTCATCAGCTACCTCAGGGAATGATATTGCTCCTTCAGATCTGCTTCAGTAATAGTAGCCCACAGCATAACCATTATTCACTCAGAGCACATCTCATGATAAAATTTACTAGCAATAAGATTAGTAAAAGTATTAAGATGAACCTCAGTTAAGTCTTGCAAAATGTACTATATAAACTGTATAGAACTGTTTGCTAATGAGTTGCAGCACAGAGGTTCCAACTCAAGAAACTCTTTTAAAAAATAGATTTTAAGTGATATAATGAGATTTCAAAATCAAATAAATTAGATTTTTATATAACTTATCTTAATTTCATCAATAATGTGCTTTGGGGTTTTGGGGTTTTGGGG